ATATTATAAATAAATATTTGTATTTATTTGTTTTCTTTTATTTCGACGATTGGCTGAAAATCATTGTTCAAGGTAGTTTTTTATATAATTTTATAAATTTTGATTATTTTCAAAAATTGCTGGATTTATATTTATATTTATAATTTGAATTCAAACTTGGATTATTTGATTATTATGTGTAGCAGTTCATAAGTTTTGTTTCAATAACTATATAAATTAAATTTGCATATTAACTTCCCGTAGGATAAGTTATAGTAATGGGCCAAAAATCGAAAATGAAAATTTTTGCATATCTTCACGTTTCAGAGGTTTCTGAATAATTTAGTAAACCTCAGAAAAAACTGATTTATGTGTGTGTGTGTGTGTGGAGACAAATTTTCGTCGACGATTTCGGGCGCACGGATCAACCGATTTGAATGATTCAAAAAACATTCGATTCCTATTGATAGGGAGATGTTCTGACTAGTTTTTGACAAAGACAGGTTCAGCCATTTCGGAGATACGGAGCAAAGTGTGTAGAAACTAAAAATCGTGTTTTTGAGAGAACGGATCATCCGATTTGCATGATCCAAAAAACATTCAATTTGTAATGATTGGGAGAATAGGTAATTAGTTTTTGGCAAAAGCGGGTCCAGCCATTTTGGAGATACTGAGTTAAATGTGCAAAAAATTGCGTAAACTAAGCGTCAGATTTGAATGATTCAAAGAACTTTCTGCTAGTTTCAACAATATAATTGCTTTCGGAAAAAAAATTTGTTTTAAATTTTTTTTTCAAAAAATATTTTTGTAATTTTGGATTAAAAATTCAAAAAATGAGTCAGGCTAAGCATTGTCTAAGCGCCACTCTGGTACAAATATTTACACGAATGCGTTTAGACTGTTTATGTACTGGAGCGCTTTTCCAATTTTGTGAAAATTATTGAAAACTGTGAAAATGCCGTCAAGCTAAGCACAGTATAAGTGAAAATGTCGCACAGAATTATTTGCAAATGCGATTAGACTGTGACTATGCGGGAGCACTTTTTCAATTTTTTATTTATATTTTATTATTAACAATTATTTTTTTGAAACTATTTTTTTGAAATTGAATTCGAAATGAAATGACGATTGTTAACGTAATAATTGATTTATGATTTGCATTTGATTTGCTCAGATATAACAAGATAGCAATAAAAATAATGAGAGTTGCAGTATTTGTAATAATATATTTGAAAACGTTTAAAATTCCTCGAACATTTTGTTACGGTACGGGAAGTTCCAGCAATTTGCCTTAAGACACGATGCCATACACCACTAGTTTCTAATTTATTTGTGGTAAATGGTATATGAATTTTCATCTGATAGTTAATATGTATTAAAAAGTAATTAAATAAACGTAAACATACATTATAAAAAATAATAAAAAATTAGTGGGGTGTATGGCATCGTGCCTTAAGGCAAATTGCTGGAACTTCCCGTACCGTAACAAAATGTTCGAGGAATACTGAATGGTTTCAAATAGATTATTATTAATATTGTAACATTGTGTAATATTTATTAGAATTATATAAACTGAATTGCAAAGTTGAAATTATTTGTTTAAAATATATTACACACACACATTCATTTTTTCTGAGGTATGCCAGTAAAATGTTCAGAAACCTTCAAAACGTCGAGAAATGTGAAAATTTTCAATTTCGATTTTCGGCCCATTACAATAACTTACCCTACGGAAAGTTAATAAAATAGTTTTTATAAAAATTTGGTTCCATACCTTCATGTAGAAGGAAGGTTTGTGTATAAAGAAAATATAAAATTTGAAAAACAACATGAATCTTGCAATTAGTCTATTATAAATTAGTAAAAGTAATAAACCCATGTTATAAAATGCAATGTACATACTCTTATATATTGAAATATATAGTCTTTGAACTGAATTAAAAGTTTTGTTTCTTTTAGCCAGTGGAAATGGGACCGAAGAGTCCGGGGCCTCCGGCGGGAGCACGACGGTACGGGGGCGCTTCAAAGTGTCTTCGAGTTCCAGTGGCGGAGGCGCCTCCGCGATAGGAGGGACATCTCGCGTCGACAAACATGACAACTTCTCGTCGTTCGACGGCAGCGGTTCGGGGATGTACCGCTTGGCGCCGCTGTACCAACAGAACTGTAAGTAGATAATGAAGGTTCGAAACCTTACTGAGAAATAAATAGAGTAGAATCTCGATTAACCGGATAATCAAATGTATGAAGAATAATGTTGTGTATTTATTAAAAATAACAAATATATACATAGTTATCAACGATCAACGTTTATTAAGAAATTGAAACTTCGTTATGTATGTACAAATTAGGGTTTATACAAAAACCGACATTTCAGAAAACCGGTTTTCGAATTTTAAATTTTCCAGAAAACCGGTTTTAACCGGTTTTCAAGTTTTATATAAAAAATCAATTTTTACTCGAATATTCTGTAAAAACAAAAAAATATCGGCAAATTTAGTGTGATTTAAAGCAGTTTTTGACCGAATTTATTTAATGTTCAATTTTATGAAAAGTAAACAAATTTATTTGAATTATTCGTTATTTATGCATTATTTTCACATATAGACTATAAATATTTTTATGATAGTGAAATAAAAGAGTTTGAATAAATAAAAATAATACATTTTTAAATAAAAAGCTTTTAATTTTCAATTAAATAAAGAAAAAATTAGATACATATTGATACATAATTGTTAATGTAAATTTTAATTCTAGAAATAATTAAACAAAACTCCGAGTTTATTCTATTCCGAACAAACCCTAGTACAAATATATTTTCTTAGATTACATACATATACTAAACTGCAGCATTAATCTTGTAAAAATTCGAATTGTAGGTAGTATATAAATTAGTCGCGGTTGGTAGTCCGGATAATTGCGAATCCGTATAACTGAGGTCCGGATAAACGAGGTTCTACTATAATGAATATATATACAGTACATAAATTCATCACTAAGAACTTTTTTGATTATCTAATTATAAACACATACTTTCAACGTTAAAAAAATTATTATATACTAGATGACCCGACAGACGTTGTCCTGTACCCATGTCTACATTGTTTTATTATAATATACTAATATTTACCGTTTACTTAAAAATAATTATTATTGTTTTTTAAATTACTCTTCACGCCAAAATGAATATACATTAGAATATTCATAATATGAGCGATGTTAAATGTAGAACTGCTTTAAATAAAATGATGAGTCTCAATTCTCACACTGTATTGGAAATTAAAGTCTTTTAAACGGTATAACATAACCATAACCATAACATAACACTGGTACTTCATGTTGGATTGAATTAATTTAACTTTTTATTATTTAAGATATCCAAAATTGCATCTTAAACTTCTCCTAGTCGATATCGTGAGGGCCGAATTGTATGTATTCATCTTTACATTCCCATTTGTTGTTATAAAGTGAAATTTTTACGAATTTTAAAAATATTATGGAAAGATTAGCAAAAGAAATTATACATTGTAAAAAAAAACTATATTGAAAATTTAATATCCGAATCTTGTGTGGCGCCCCCTAAGGCGTGCGCTCGTATTTTTCGTATGCATCGCATTAAAGGTAGGACCGGCCCTTATTAATACTTAATTTCATATTTTAAGTGAATTAATTTGTCATATCCTGTTTATATGTGTATCATTAAATCTACCATACATATACTGTATCTTATATTATTTGAATTTCTGGCACATCTCAGCCGGTTTTTGGCAATAATGATGTAAACATTTCATTTTTCTTATTCATAATCATACATTTATTATACATATTCTAATAATGTCTAGATTCATAAGTAAATTGAAATTTTTGGCAAATGATAATTTTCATTTGTTTTCAATGCAAACAATGACATGTCGTTTTTGCAATCTTTCGATTTTTTTCTACAATGTGCAATACATACATCGCAGTACTTTATAATCACATAGATTCTAGAAAATTTTCTTAACAAACTTCAAAAAGATTTATCAAGATCCGCATAATCATTTAGAAGGAGTATACAGTGAGTGCTTGTAATTTTATATGAACTTTATATGATAGCAATAAAGCTCAAATTGATTCTATTATTGATTTTAGTTAGAAAACGTTTGTATGTGAAAAAGAAAAGGGCTGTTTTTAGTGTTTTCCCGGCAATTATTCAATTTTTTCTCGCCGTAAGAACCATTCTTGGACTTCAACGAACACTTTAAAAAAAAATTGACCGAATTGGTCCAGGCGTTGTTGAGTTATGCGCTTACCAACACATTTTACGATTCATTTTTATATTTTTATTTTTATTTTTATTTTTTATTCCATTTTTTTTATTGAAATGGAAAATATTTTTTAGGCAAAACAGATTATACTGCTGTTCCAAGAATGAGATTATATCGCCAGCGGAAAAGTAAAAAAAATACAAACAGTCAATGAATGTATGTTAATTTTAATTACACGAAGTTCTTCAAACACGAATATTGTATGACGAGTAAAATTGCGAAAACAATATTTCTTTATCCACTGTGTGAACGAATATTATAGAATTCATTATACAGCAATTACCTAATTTCTCTAATAAAGGTTCGTTTCTAAGTGCTAATTACAATGACAAACCGATCATGTCATATTTGAAGTATGACTTTGATTACATTATTGTTTTAAATATTATATATATTTTTAATGCTTTTATAAATATATATGTTATAATTTATCATTATATAAATGTGTATAATGGTCGACACTAATAAATGTGTGCATCGCGAGTGTTACCATATTACTGATAAACATTATTCAAAATTGTTATTTATTTTTACTTAAATGTCATCTTGTACAGTAGCAAATAAGTTTTACTTTAATCGCGTGTGAACCTTACGCGCACTCTTTTTTTTGTATTATATATTCAAATAAATCTTATCTGGAATTAAACCTAATGGTAAATTTACGTGCTACAGTTGGTGGCGCCTCTATGGAGCGCGTAAACAATTAAAATTCTTATAATGCCAAAGCAGCCGTGTTTGAGATCTATTTATACTTATTTATCTATAATACTAATAGTGTCAATATATTAATAATGTTTTTTTTTTCTAGTTACGTACGGCCCGCCGTCCCCTTACATAAAAAGAGGGCGGTTTGCGGTAATTCCTGAAGAATCGGCGGCGCCGCCTTGCCAAACTCCTTATTATCCAGCAGGAAGCAGATCGCCTTCGCCGAGGCCCCTAGAAGAAGGCGACGATGCCTGGGATTTCGACGATGAGGTCAGTGGAGTAATTATAACAGATACATATATTAGGGTGGTCCTTGATATGAATATTTTTGAATTTCTTTGCTCCCAGGGGGGACATTTTTCGAATTTCTTTGCTCCCAGGGTCTCAAATGCTTCCAAATTGGTAAAAGAAGATTCTTTGAAAGTTTTAGCTCTTAATATTAACATTTAGATAGTCCGCAATTCAATTAAAAGTTTCGTATATTCATTATTAAGTAAATTCTTGCACCATCTTTGTTAGCAGACTTGGAACTTTGATGGCATTTTATTACTGATAATTTGAGTATCTACATCACCAAATGAATAATTTATTTTGATGCCATGATGAATAAATATTTCGTTAAACAGTCCACATGGATTTATTATTTAAGTGTTCAATAAAAGTGGACCAATGGGTTACTGAACTATAAGAGTCAAGATATTTTCACGTCAAATATGGCATGTGGGGTATCAAATGAAAGGTCTCAACGAGCACTATACAAAAATCATAATAAAAACTACAAGAACGCATTAAAGTTCCGTACCAATCATTTATTCGATATCTAATATCATTTTTTGCAAAATTGCAAGTATACCGACTTGGTGAAAGGTTTCTACATAAGACAGTATTATTTACAATGAAATTTAGCACAAATTTGCCGAATATTACATTTATTTTAGACGTACGGTTCAAATGTTACAAGAGATATAATAAAAAGTGGACCAATGGGTTGCCAAACTATAAGAGTCAAAATGTTGTCACGTTAAATATGGCATGTGGGGTATCAAATGAAAGGTCTCAACGAACACTATACAAAAATCATATTCACAAACTCCATAAATCAGTGGGGTCCCGTACAAAGCATTTATTCGATATCTAATATCATTTTTACAAATTTGCAAGTATACCGACATGGTGAAAGGTTTCTACATAAGACAGTATTATATACAATGAAATTTAGCACAAATTTGCCGAGTATTACATTTATTTTAGACGTCCCATTCAAAAGTTACAAGAGATATAATAAAAAGTGGACCATTGGGTTGCCAAATTGCAAGTCACGTCAAATATGGCATGTGGGGTATCAAATGAAAGGTCTCAACGAGTACTATCCAAATATCGCTTTCACAAATCAATAGGGTACCGAACATTGTATTTTTTTGAATCCAAAATCTTTTTACCAACATTGTTATATTAAAATAATATAAAATTTAATTTTGATCAATTATAACTCATACGAGTAGTTTGATAAATAAATTCAAACATAAATTTACACATTAGTAATAAACTATTATTGTAAGCCTTATAAAAAACTAGTGGTGTATGGCATCGTGTCTTAAGGCAAATTGGTGGAACTTCCCGTACCGTAATGAAATATTCGAGAAATTTTAAACGTTTTCATATATATCATTACAAATACTATAACTTTCATTATTTTGCTATCTTATTGTTATATCTGAGCAAATCAAACGTAAATCATAAATCAATTTATCTCCAGAACATTAACAAGCGTCATTTCATTTCGAATTCTATTTAAAAAAAAAAAAAATAGTCGGCTAATTTACACAAAATTGAAAAGTGCTCCAGTGTAGTCACAGTCTAAACGCATTTGCAAATAATTCTGTGCGACATTTTCACTTGTACTGTGCTTAGCTTGGCGGCATTTTCACATTTTTCAATAATTGTTTTCACAAAATTGGAAAAGTGTTCCAGTACATAAACAGTCTAAACGCACTTGGGTAAACATTTGTACCATAGTGGCGCTTAGACTGTGCTTAGCCTGGGTAATTTTTTGAATTTTTAATCCAAAATTACAAAAATATTTTTTGAAAACAAAATTAGAATTTTTTTTCGAAAAGCAATTATTTTGTTGAAACAAGCAGAAAGTGTTTGAATCATTTAAATCGGACGCTTAGTTCTCTTAAAAAACTGCCATTTTTTAACAATTAGGTCCGTATCTCCGAAACCGCCGGGCCTACCTTTGCCAAAAACTAATAACCACTTTTTCCCGTCATTACGAACTGAATGTTTTTTGGATCATACAAATCGGATGATCTGCTCTCTCAAAAACTCGATTTCTATTTTCTCGCACTCCTGCTCCGTATCTCCGTAACGGCTGGACCTGCCTTTGCCAAAAACTAATCAGCACATCTTCCTATCAATAGGAATCGAATGTTTTTTAAACCATTCAAATCGGTTGATCCGTGCGCCCGAAAACGTGGACGAAAAAATGCGGCCATACAAAACACACACACACACATCCATTAGTTTTCTGAGGTATGCCAATTTAAAAATGTTCAGAAACCTTCGAAACGTCGAGAAATGCAAAAATTGTCATTTTCGATTTCGGCGCATTACTATTATAACTACCTTACGGGAAGTTAATAAAATATAAGCAAAATATTTTAAGCTCAGAATAATTATCAATAAAAACATTCAAATTATATATTACACTTTAAAAGAAATAAACAATAACAAATTACAATTTTCATTAATTTAATATTGAAGCAAAATTTAGAGGGTAAGTTGATTTATGAATATTGTTAAGTGTCGTAATATTGGAGTTGACGAATGCTATCACAGATAGCGAAATACGAATATACGTAATATTAATTGAATTGCGGACTATCTAAAAGTTAATATTAAGAGCTAAAACTTTCAGAGAATTTTCTTTTATTACTTTGGAAGCATTTGAGCCCTTGGGAGCCAAAAAATTCGAAAATGTCCATATTAAGGACCACCCTAATATATATTTATATATATATATATATATATATATATATATCATTTATAATTATTATCGTTATTCCTACGAATAAGATTAAAATTTATGACCCTTTGTCTGTCCTCCTCTTGGCAGCCGAAGCGGCCAAAAACAAGCACCTGGCAATTGTCACGAATCACTTGATGATTTCATATCTAAAGATAATTACACTTGGCCAATGTTTTTGCCAATTTTGACGATTTTCAGGAAAAATGAATGATTGACGGATGAATAGTTGTTAGAAAGCCAAAAGTGTAAGTGGAACACATAATACGGAGAAGTTGATAATAAGAAATTTGTTAGATAAAAGACACAGATTATAGTAATATAAGACGATTGGAACAAAAGGTGTCAAGTTACACTTTAGGCTAGGGTATATTGATGTTACTTAAGTCACTTAAGTCACTTGAGACACTTTTTATGTGACCTCATTGTAAAATCTAAGAGAATTCTTGAATCTTACAACAAGCTTATACCAGTTTGTTTAAATAGAATCAACTATAAAATAACTATTTCTTTGTTGTTTCTACTGAAAAAATTGTTATGGGTAATGGATCTATTTTCGGATATTTATTATCTTAGTATAACGAACATTCTAAGCTGATTAAAAAAATAATACTGAATGTAATTCAGATGAGAATTGTGTCAATTCTCATAAAAATAGTCCAGCATTTTTCGAAGAAGTCCCAATTTATTCATCATTTCATCTTTCATAAAGAATTGGACCTTGGTTGGAACATTTAAATAATTTGTTCCTATGTAAAACTTGTTTATATTGGTATTGTAATTGAATTATCCATTTTAACATATGCATCATAGTCTATTGTTCACAACTGAAGAAATACTATGTGTATTATTATTATTATATGATTATTAACTTCCCGTAGGGTAAGTTATAGTAATCGTCCAAAAATCGAAATCAAAAATTTTTACATTTCTCGACGTTTGAAGGTTTTTGAACATTTTGGCATACTTCAGAAAAAATGGATGTGTGTGTGTGTGTGTGTGTGTGTTTTGTATGTCCGCTTTTTTTCGTCCACGTTTTCGGGCGCACGGATCAACCGATTTGAATGGTTTTAAAAAACATTCGATTCCTATTGATAGGGAGATGTGCTGATTAGTTTTTGGCAAGGCAGGTCCAGCCGTTACGGAGATATGGAGCAAAGAGTGCAAAAAATAGAAAGCGAATTTTTGAGAGAACGGATCAACCGATTTGAATGGTTTAAAAAACATTCGATTCCTATTGATAGGGAGATGTGCTGATTAGTTTTTTTGGCAAAGGTAGGCCCAGAGGTTTCGGAGTTACAGAGCTAAATTTAAAAAAAATGGCTGTTTTTGAGAGAACTAAGCGTCCGATTTAATGATTCAAAGAACTTTCTGCTTTTTTCAACAAAAACATTGATTTTGGAAAAAAAAATTTTTTGATTCTAATTTTTTTCAAAAAAATTTTTTTTGTAATTTTGGACTAAAAATTCAAAAAATCACCCAAGCTAAGCACAGTCACTAAGCGCCACTCTGGTACAAATGTTTACCCAAGTGCGTTTTAGACTGTTTGTGTACTGGAGCACTTTTCCAATTTTGTGAAAATTATTGAAAAATGTGAAAATGCCGCCAAGCTGAGCACAGTATAAGTGAAAATATCGCACAGAATTATTTGCAAATGCTGGAGCTGTGACTATGCTGGAGCACTTTTTCAATTTTGTGGAAATTTGGCAACTATTTTTTTTTTTGAAATTTGATTCGAAATGAAATGACGATTGTTAATGTTCTGGAGGTGATAAATTGATTTATTTATAATTAACTTTCCGTAGGTAAGTTATAGTATCGCACAAAAATCGAAAATGAAAATTTTTATATAACTTTACGTTTCAAAGGTTTCTGAATATATTGGCATACCTTAGAGAAAATTGATGTATGTGTGTGTGTGTGCGTACAAGATGAATACTTATCAAATTTTCATGAAAATAGGTCTAGCGGTTTCGGAAATCTAGTAAAAAAAAACTAAAAAAAATAACATTTGGCGGTCAACAATAATCATTAAGCATTAGACATATGCATATCAAATTATCAGATATTTTATTGAGATTTTAACAATAAGTATGAATTTTGTTTGCATTCCTGTGGGACCGTACCAATATTTATCAGTTAGACGGCAGCGCGGCGCTTACGCGCTTTGACATTTCGTCTCTATGCAGTTAAAGCAGTACGATTGCTTTGAAAAAA